TTCATAAATGTTCACCCTTCAGTGTTGAAGCAGTCAGGTCATGCAGGAATGTGAATAAAACCAGTGGATGTGAATTTAATGTACTGCAGCTAACGCATCTCCAGCTAATCATTGCTGTATAACATACATAACAGCGTTGGTTAGAACACTATTGTAATTGCTCAGAGGATGGTTTCTCAGAGGCTGTCTGGGTCTAAATGTGCTCAAAAAGTCACATCAGAACTAGTGAAAATGTACATTTGATTCGAAAAGTGGATCTAACAAAAAGTCATTGGTGCTTATGGTGCGCTAACAGTTTGTCGAAGGCGAATGAAATTTGGCACACATGTGTAGGGTACCAAGACTTAAAAATAAGTAATATGGGTTGCATTTCCAAAATTGCGCTTTCTCTCAGCAACTCTGTGACGCGGCGGTAACACTTGGACAGTAACTATAATCTATCTACCCCTTGGAAATGCGTTTCTAAAGTAAGTAATGCATTACTGCCCAACACTGTTTAGAACAGATATTTTTTCTCTACTTTCTTTACTTTTTTGGCAAGAAATGGTACTTTGAGTATTATATTTCAGTACTCTTTACACCACTGCGTGCCGCAAATTCTCTCTTTTCTCCACATTTTGTCAAACAGATCTCTGTGATCAGCCACCAAAAGCATAAACAACTAGTCATCAATGATTTTGTCTATGTGTTCTTTGATTTCTTCTCTATCATTGTCTCCGTTCCTGTTTGCCATGCGGCACGGGGTTCATCTGTTGAACTGCAAACGCCATCTTCTGGCAGGCAGTGTCATTGCATCAATATTTCATTCGCAGACGAAGAGCAGTAGGCTGAGAAGCCATCTGAAGATTTGGCATCTGTATGGCTTTATAGTGCATCATTAGCCGAGTTTTGCCAGCAAAATTAATCATATGAGTCCTACATCTTCATTTGATAAGTTAATATATCTACTAAGTGACACATTATTTCTTGACATGATATATTTAGCTGCTTTTCAACTATTTTGCAGCAGAGCTCAAACTCTTGAGCTACATTTCCACTGAAACTTCTTGATGAATGGACGTCGAAATCAATTATAAGAACTCTTACTCTTCACCTCGATCTTCGAAGGGAACAGCAGATTAGTGTCACTTCCACTTTATCAGCATAATTTCATGCACATAATTACATTCCAGCAAAACTGACGCAGAGCTTCTCAGAGCTATCAAATCTGTTGCTTATTGATTTATGAACATTATGGGGCTTAATGTAGTTTGCCGTGTTGATGGAAAACCTGTCTAGAATAAGAAACACACCATTATTTCAGGTGTGCTTGTGATCACTGTGAAACATTCTCCTCAGAAGCTCTCTGTCCAGGGAGCACTCGGTTTTCACACTCCTAATCAAAGAAAACAATTCCTATCTTTGCGTGAAGCGTCTGTCAGATACCTTCAGCCTGCTGATGTGTAAAGTGCCGTTTTCCATTAGGCTTATGTGAATGTCATCGTTCAGAAGGCTCTGGCCGTCTTTCTCCCATCTGACGCTGGGCATTGGGCTGCCCATCACATGACAATGCAGCTGAGCGTTGGAGCCTAATGTCAGGGTCTGGTTGGCTGGACCACGGCGGATAATTGGAGGGACGAGATCTGATGGGCCTGCAGGATAAACAGAGGAGTGTTTTTTTTTTAAGGAGCATCTGTGCAGTTGTCGGGCATTCAGAGATCTGTATCAAATGCAGAGACAAGTGGCTGACAGAGATAAGCACATAACCAGGACAGATTTAAGCATTTCAGAGATTATATTGGTAGAGACATGGCTCCAAAACATTTTTCTTGTTTTATTTTGAAAGCAATAGTTGTTTTCAAATGACCCTAATTAAAGGTGTACACACCTTGTTAATTTGGCACAAAAACTGACAAAAGGGTTTGACTGGCTGGTGACGTTAACAATCCTCACTTGTGATGGACATTAGAGTGGAGAGTGACAGCCGCTCATTCTGCCAACTCATCCACAGTGATAAGGTCCATATCTCAAACAATTTTATGGCAGATTTTCCACAGGTTTTAAGATTCGGTGACTTTAAACTATTACAGTCAAGTAGCAACATTTAAGATGATCGAGATACAGAGGCAATCAGTGTAAATGAAAGGAAAAGTTTTAAATCCGTCTATTAAAATATATGCTTAGTATGGGGAAGATTCTTAAGCTGTATTGGATTAAAATGAAGCATGCTCAAGTACACGTCATCACTCATGATCCCTGAGCAAGCACCCTTAATTAAAATCTGGCTCCCCGCTTTAAGGAACGCATATAAAACTGAAGAGCCATGAGAGCACAACGCTTCGTTCACTTAAACGTAGGCAGTTTGCTAATACTGGTGCTTTTCTTCTCAATTACTTCCAGTGATGGGAGGGATAATCAGTAATCCCAGACACTCACCAACTTCCACTTCCAGCATAGCCTTGGCCAGGACGCTCCCTGCTACACTGATGGCCTGGCAGATATAATACCCAGAGTCCTCCGAGTGGACATCTGAGATGGACAGCTCTCCACTCATGGACACTGAATAACGCCCCGACTGCGATGGAGGTTGGCCAGGGAAAAGCAGCATCTACGAAAGAGGACAGACTCTTGAATTTACACCAAAGAATTGGAAAAATAACAATGTTGACCATGGAAACCAGGCCTGCACTTTTCTTTTCAAAGTCGTAACCTGATGTTCGCAATGGAGAGATTGAGAAAAGTGATGTCAGTCTGTTGAATCTCATCTTACTTAAAAGTCTTGTTGATAAAAGCTCAAAGATCATCCAATGAGCAGGTGACCTGTGAGTACCCTGCCTTTCATCCAATAAGAGCTCCAGACCCAGAAAACAAATATATAGGAAAGAAAACGGATGCATGGAATCATTTCAAAGTTATTTAGTCATCCACAACAGGGGCAGGCAATGCCAAGTAAGGTCCATTTGTCTTAGTGGAAGCTCCTGCATCTCATTCCTGCAATACATTATTTGACCACCATAAGCGAAAACTAAGCGAAAATTAACAAAAAGACAAAATCAAAAATATTTTCCTGAAGTGCATGCAATAAATAAAAACTAAAGCTAGCGTTTTTATGTGTTTGTGTTCTGTGAACAAATCAACAAACTGATATTAAGACACAAATTCCTCTTTGCATGCCTTTCTATTGATACAAAATAGATCAATCCACAGTCCAAGCAGTTTCAGGTGAGACGGCATTGTGTTTCTTGTTGTTGAATTGGCAATCGTGCAACCTGGCTAAAGTTCAAAGAAAGCGACAGAGCCCTATATGGGATTTTTTTAAATATACAAATTGAAACAAAGACAAGTGCTAAAACATATGCAGTATATAACCCAGAAAGCTCCCATTATAGCTCCCTAGCATGGTAAGCCGGTTTAACATTTTATATTCTTTCCTTTCTAGTCACAACTCTATTTTAATAATTCCAATTTCAGATATATAAACTATTTATTTGACTTGTCGTAGTGTCAAATTTTATTGTACTGTTTTTATTTAAATGTACTGTATGTATATGTTATTCTTTGTTAGTATTGAAATCTCCTTAAATTGTCTTTTAAAGGTACAGTATTTAAGATTTGGCCACTAGAGGAAGCCATTTTTGAAGAGTTAATCTGGGGAGGGAATTTGACTTAAACCATTTATCATCTGCCAATAACTAGTGCTAAAGATGCTACATAATTACATCATAATCTAGCCGTTTCAGGTGAGACAGCACTTTAACTGCACTTTCTTTATGTCTCGTGTTGTTAAAAGTTGACTTTCGAGTTTGCAATCGAGAAAAAGGGTTAGAGTTGGACTAAAGCAACAGAGCCCTATATGGGATTTTTAAAAATATACCAAAGTGAGATGAAAGCAAGTGTGTTGTGTCAAAACTTTCAGAGTGAAAAATCCCTTGAATCTCAACTGACATTTATGGAGCTCACATAAGGATGCTAATACTGAGTATTTAACCTAGAAAGCTCCTTTTGTAGCTCCAGGCATGGCAAGCTGTTTTAACATTTAATATTCTTTCCTTATTAGTCACAAATCCATTTTCATAATTCCAATATCAGATACCAACATTGACTAGTCACAATTGCAATTAAAATGTTTATTTGACTTGTCGTAAGGTCAAATATGATTGTACTGTATTTATTGTCATTTACTGTTTGTATTTATTATTCTTTGTTGGTACTGAAGTCTACTAATAAAGTGACAATATGCAAAATTTACTAACAATGCAAAGATTATGGGTTTCAACAGCAGGGAAAGCAGGACTTTTGTAAAGTCATGAGAAAAATTTTAAATATATCTGAAAACTGTTATAGACATATGACTATTTTTACTCAGGGAATCTCCACAAAGATAATAAACCTATATTTATTTTCCTGGTCACATTTTTCAGGCAGTAGAATCAGTATCTGAAGCTCTTTGAATCTTGAGACTTAACAGGGGATAACAGGGTTCACTGTGTGGAGGTAAGTGAAGGGGAATCCATCTACTCCCCCTAAGAGGCTTAAAACTGAGCAAGTAATGGATGAAGGTGAAAAGGCCACTGCATAATCTAGAAAAGAGCTTAAAACATGCTTTAAAATGCACTGCAGTGACCGCTCCTCGAGTGACTCTAAACTGATGAAGATGTACATCAAGGCTGAGTGGTCTTTAGGTCGTCCTGTACAAAAGCAGCTATTTTTAGCATTAAAACATGCTCCTGACTACCACTGCACCAAACACACATTGCAGGCTTTTGGGAGCTGCTCTGTCACCTCTGAGTTGAAGTCTCTCTTTCTAATTCTCAATGAGAACTGAATCTTCCTCAGAATGGCCCTGAAAAGGCTTAAATTACAGTCCCAGCAGTAATCAGCGTCAACCAGGTAAACGTGATGATGGAGAGAAGCACTTGTGAAGCTAATGATGCTAAACCTTCTCTGAGAAGTACACAAGCCATCTTTCTATTAAGGATATTGAACTGCTGGTTAATGTTAGAGGCTTGGAACTTGTAAGCATTCCTGTGGTTCAGTCAATAGGGCATTGCACTTGCAACACAAAGATTTTGGGTTCGAACCCAAGCAGAAACATACCAAATGGCAAAATTGAATGGTTGCCAGGGTAGAATTTTTGGTTGCTATGGAGAAATCAGTTATATACTAAGTTCCTCATGCCAGCCTGACTAAAATTAACCAATCCACATGTCTCTATGATTTTCCTTAGCTGAGATAGTGATATGTCAAAATGGTTGCTATGGTAAACACTTAGGTTGCTATGGATGGGGATATACTGCAACATTGCCTTTGTCACTATAAGTTGTATAAAATAATCTCCATTTCATTATCATTTACCAAACCTGAGATAAAGTTCAGAAAATTAGGTTGCTAGGGTAAACAAGTTGGTTTTTAGGGAGCCGTCAGTGATTTTTAACCCCCTCCTAGAGCCTGGGGTTCAAATACATTTGCGCAGTGGTTGTTATGTTCTTGCACAGACTGATAACCTCCAGAACTGAGGTCTGTTTGAAGTTTCTAAGAGGTTCTCAGCTTTACATCTTTAGAAAAGTTTGACCCCGTGTTAAGTTAATGGAAACTTTCCCAGATTTCTCAGTGATTTCCCAGAATTCCTTTAGTGGTAGCAGTCTGAAAAGAGATAGCAACCCGAATAAGACCATTTTGGACAAGAAAATCTAATTATTACAATTAAAACCCTGGCATTTGACAGGTGTAATCTGATAATAAACAATAATAATTGAGAAATTATTATTAGTCATTTTATAGAATGTATAGCGAATAAATATGTAAATACTTTTAGATAATTGTCTCAAGCTTTTTTGTATTGTATCCTAATAACAGAACACTGACTTCTCTTACAGTGCTTGTGGAAATGCCATTTAAAACATGGAAATGACTTCAAAAATGACACACACGTTATTAAAGTAATTATACAGCACAGTACCAAGTGTCTCCAGTATGAACTTCACAACATTATGCTGTCTGTCAAGTCTCACCTCCTTAGCAACATAATTAAAGCTTCCACAGTTAAGAGCTTGAAGTGTCCACAATTTCCCACTTGGATTTGTTTTCAATTGTATCATTTTTATGGCAAACAATAATTATTGCATTGTATGGAATTATTTACGAGCACCTTCCCTCTCTATGTGAAATAGGAAATGACTGAAGCTGCACTATCAAAGCACTATCACCCAGTGTCCGCCACCACTAATCACCACTATTCAACTTTGGATCCCACATTCCTTACAGTGTTCACTGAGGTAAATGTGATCAGTCAGGCAAAATGTCTAAACTTGGAAGAAAGCAACAGAGCCCTATATGGGATTTTTACAAATATATGACAACTAGACAAAAGCAAGCATATTGTGCCAAACAAATTGTTACTTATGCATACAAATGCATATAGTGTTGTGTGTTCATCTAAAAATGACACCATTCAGCTACACACACAGCTCTGATATCTCAATAAAAATGACATTTTTTCTTTAAACAAGATTTGTTAACAGTGTTTCCTGTGTACAAATTTGAGTTTCTTTTCCGAAAATGAAGAAGGTCAACGCTTGTGATTTCAATATGTTAGTAACTTAACTAACATAATCTAATTTCATATTATGCAGAAGAGAGCCATGTCAACATGTCCTGTGAACATTTTTTTTTACTCAAGTGGGTGTTTATTCAAGTGGGTAAAGCTATGCGTCTCACTAAATTAAATTGTTCATAATTTAAACAAATTGTCTGTAAAATGAAAAAATGTCTTCCAAACACTGATTGCAGGTAGTACAGTTGTTTGTAGCTGTGCGACCTGGAACAGAGCATCTTTTTGATATCCTAATAATCATTTTTAAAAAAGTTATTGAACCATTTGAGGTGAAAAAGAAAGTTATTGACATATTGAAATGACAGGCGGAAGATGCTGGACATGTTTAGAAGTCATTGTTACCATTCAAATGTGAATTTAATTTATGTGTAAAACTATAATATTGTGTAAAAAAAAGGAAGTTGTTATGAAAAGAGGTTTTTTCTAATTTAATAACTTACTTGAGTCTTAGAACACGTATACGATACACAATACGCGCAGTCATGGCGTCTTGCTTTTGGAGGCAGAGACTGATTTTTGGGAACGCAGTCGGTCGATACAGTTCTGGGAGGTGATGATCCCAAAGCACTGATGGCAGACTTTTAGGAATTTTAAAATGACCATGTGCGATGAAATCGGTTCGTTGCTTATATTCCATTGATGAGTCCCATCGCATCCCAGTTCAGACAGAAAAACGCATTGCCTTTGCATTGGGATTTATCCTGTATATGCTCTTCCATTATAGTTGATGCATATTGTTTCTTGTTGGATTAAGTTTATTTTACTCAGTCATGCGCATTTCGAAAATGTATGTGCATCCTGGTGTTTTCATGGAGTGTTTTTTATGCATTTTTCCAAAATGTGCATAAAAATTGTTGGATAGAAACACAGCAATTGGGACTGGAGCCACATGTTAGAGATCTAGCTCAAAAGCTGTCAATCATGCAGTCACAACCAGGTATTCTGCTAAAATTAAACTTGAAATGATAAAAAGTTTAATCCACTGTAGAAATGACTACCAAAAAACACCCCAAATATTAAAATAGCATATCTGCATTTGACTACATTAGGATAAAAAGGGCCATCACCAGAGGGCGAACGAGGTACCACAAAAAAAATATTCAGCAAACAATATGAGGCATACAAGGTTAGATACCACAACATGCAACATAAACAAAGTATAGGATCACACAATCTGCTTTGTATTAACAAGTAATCCCAAACTTAAAAGCTGACCACTGACCTGACTGCCTTCTTTTTGCCAGAAAACTGCAGGAGGGGGGTTTCCTTGTGTGACACAGTGAAACGTGACAGTTCGCCCTTGCACAGCAGCTTGATCCTGAGGTCGAACTTCAATCTGTGGGGGCACTAAAAGCAAAATTCGGTCTGGTTAGTCAGTGTAGAAATGTCTATTACGTGTCTTTTTTGCATTGTTTACACCAGATGAGCCTAGACCTCAGGTCACAACCTCAAAACCAGGTCAGAGGTATTACAAGGTTGCAGGGACATTCTGGGGAAATTGTACATTCGTTAAAATTTGTTGATTTGTTAGCTATTTGTTGAAATAAAGTTGAATTCTTCACTTTACTAATATTTAAGTGGAAAGGATTACATTTTAATATTTTTAATCCCAAGTGCATTTTCTGAAAAGCATAGAATTTTCATTACCAGGTTTGGAAGAAATGAACTCAAAATGAAACTCATTAAATCCTACAAGATCTCAGCTAGAGATGATTTAATAACTCTTCCTCTGTCATTTCAACTCTACTGAGAGAGGGATCAAATGTTATCTGAGCAAAACTAATTTAACTCAGTAAACAAATGTTTCTTTAAAAGCATTCTTTGAAGTTTAATTAAATGCGCAAAGATTTTTTTTTTTAAAGAAAGCAATATTTTTTGAAAGTGAATGCTAAAATCAAAGAATAGAGCAGCCTATCAACATGTGGCAAGTTCCGTTCTTTGCAGCTCAGAGAGAGAAATCCTTTTTTTCCACACAAACAACAAAGATCCAGGGGAAATCTGGCATGTAATATGAATTTCTGCACATGGAAACAACAAACTAAAATGTGTAGGTTTCAAAAAGGTAATTACCTCTGATATTTTTTTTTAAATTACAAGAGTTATGACATACAATTTCAATGTGAGGAAATGTAAGAAAATCGTTCAGTTTCATTTTACACTCCAAATTGGTGCAATCTGTGCCATCTAGTGGTAAAAAGAAGGGATAACTATTGGAAGTACAATACTTAAGATATGGCTTGTGTTTTTCAAAGTTCTGGCACAAGAAAAGCAAAAAAGAACAAAAAGGGCTTGGAACAGTGTGTAAGGTAAGCATCACCAACATGGTTTCTGCAGGCACCAGGTCTCCCCTGAGGACCACATGAGTCGCCCCCAGTCTGTTCTAAAAAAGCTCAAATAGCGCAATTTACCAGTGAGCTGCATCTAAATGAATATGATTGTTATTCTTGTTACAATGACACTTGAACGGAAACTTGATGTGACAATATATGGGAAAAAACCTTTTAAAATGTTTTCATATACAGTGGTACCCCGAGATACGAATGCTTCGAGTTACAAAATGTAACGAGATACGAAAATTTCTCAATCGAGATACGAAAGGTCTCGCAGGAAATTTTTTGCTTCAAGATGCGAAGAAAAATTCGAGATACGAACATTTACAAGCTGTTCTGCTGGATTTTCTGCTTGACATCATGACGTCACGCTGCGCTTCCGGGTTCTTGCGCTCCTATCTCCGAGTGCAAAAAAGGTCTGATGCGCTTTTTTTCTGTTTTATTTTCATTTATTACATTAACAATGTGTAGATTTAAGGATTGAAGAAACATTACTTGATTTTTCTCTGGTTTTCCATTTTTTTACTGATACAGTTGTTTCTGAGAGCCTTTGCACGGATTAAGCGTTTTACATTACATTTTACAATAAAACTTGCTTCGACATATGAAATGTTCGAGATCCGAACGTCACTCTGGATTGGATTACATTCGTATCTCGGGCTACCACTGTATATATGAACCTAGTATAGTTCATAGGTCAGTATGATGCGCCACAAAACGAGATAACCGACTCCTAACCTCTTAAGCCCTAAGGCATATTTTCCGAAAATCCTATACCTTCACTTTATAAGGCATTTCTCAGCTTTTACAAGGTCTAAACTGCAAATCTTGGTATCAAAATGAAGATAGGTTCTTGGGGGGTGGTGTGGATGAGTTAATTTGACAGTCAAGAACACTGGGTAAGAGTAAATGATGTTGAATTGGCCAAAAAATGAACTCCGCCAAAAAAAACCCACGTTTCCTCTAATATCTCCTTATTTTACTTGTAACGAAGCAAATAAACACAATCAATTGTAACCACTACATGTCAAGGACATCTGTAACAAGGTTGATGTTCATACTACAAGAAACTAATATTCTGTACAGGTTTTAAATTAAACAAACTTCAGGCATTTGTCCATTTTGGCAAAGTTTGGCACAGTTTGGCACAA